CCCCCACAACGTCTTGGGGTGGCCACGCTTGTGTGCGCGGGGTGAGGACCCCTCACCTGAGCAGCTTCGCTTTGCTCTGCAGGGAATCCAGAACCTCGATTTTCTTGTTCATGGCAGAAATCTCCTGCTCCAGGTTCTCCCGTGTGACATCCACCTGCTGGCACAGGTGGGCAAACGTGCCGGCAAGCTCCCTGCGGAGCAGAGAGCGAGATGGAGCAGCAGAGCCAAGGAACGGGGCCCTCAGATGTGCAGCAACGAGTTTACGGGCTCGGACATTCACCCTCCCACGTCTGCCCCCCAGGCAGCTCGCTCGGAGCTACGAAGGGACAGAGACTCGTGTTTCCCAGCACCTCGACACCGCAGCGGTGATCCCCAGAAATGTCACCTTCTTTCCAGGCATGGGCATCGCTGCACATTTTGAAATCGGGAGTACACGGGCTTGTCTCATTTTAACAAGGAATATCGTTTAGAGACAACCAAACGAGGGGATTTAGGAGAGGTTTTAGGCGAGCAGAGGCCACTCACTGCTGGACCTGGTGGCTGCAGTTGGAGCCCGTGTAGCTGACGATGAGCTGCAGCTTCTCCCCAGCGTACTCCACAAACTGTCGCTTGAACGCCCGCTCCTTGGCCTTCGTGGTCCAGGTGAGGCGCTCGTACACGTACAGGAGCCCGTAGAGGCCGAAGGAGAGCGCGATCAGCCTCCAGCCCACGGCCTTCCACACCTGGAACGCACAAGGGGGGCAAATGACGCAGTTGCCAGCGGGGAAGGGCGCAAATCCCTCCCGCGGCGCCCAGAGCGCGGCACTCGTGTCCCCGGCACAGGGAAACGAGCCAGAGGTGACTCCGCCTGGCAAGTGGCGCCGCTGCTCAGCCTGCTGAGCCTGCGAAATAGAAACACTGGACCTAAAACTGTCGGGGTTCTCTAGGGGTTACCCTTCCCAGCACACTGAAATTGCACCTACAGACACAAACCACCTTTGTCTGGTTCCCAGAAGCTCCTTTTCTGAAGGAAAAGACATTTTCAAGCAGCCACCTCCCCTTTTGGGAAACGACCCGTCCCCAGACACGCTGCCGGGCGGGCAGGCAGGGAGTGGGCGTGGCAGAAACTTTGGTTCTCTCTGCAGCAGGAACCAGAGCTGCCGTGCGCCCCGACTCAAAGCTCTCACACCTCTGCAGTTTGGGGAGATTTGAGATTCGAACCAGTCATCATTTTCAGAAGACAGAAAAGCGGGAAGTGCCGATTGTCTCTGAAATCAATTGGGCACCTCACCTAGAATTCAGCGCTCTCCTCCCCTCTTCCAGGGAGACACATGAGCTGGGGCCCGATTCCTTGTAAAAGGGAAAAGAAATCCCCCAAATTTTCTCTTATCCTCCCCAAAGAATCAGACCCTTTGATGTGTTTGTAATCACAGGGTTATCTCCACACCCCTGGCTCTCAGCCCAGCTACTGAGCAAAACACCCAAAAGGAAGATCGGGGGGAAATTTCACTCTGTGTGAGCAGCAACAGCTCCCGGACCCAGCAGTGCCGGAGCTTGGCTAGTCCAGGCTCCCGGCTTTATCTACAGGAAAGCACCCGAGCTCGCCAACGCACCACACCGCCAACCACGATGATGCCCATGGACGTGCGGGACGTGAGGGAGGCCAGCCCGGTCACCATCGACACCATGAGCTCCTCCTGGGTCATGGCGCCCTGCGGCAGCGGGGGCAGGCTGGGGTTCGCCGGGGTCAGAGGGCGCTGAACCTGCTTAGCAAAGCCGGGAGAAAACAAAACAAAAGCAGCTTTGAGAAAACCAGAGGGTGAGCCGCCGGCCTGCCCGCCCAGCCAGAGCTCAGCAGCACGAGACGCCGAACGGCACATCCAGCCCCGGCCCTGCCCGGGGGGTCTCACCTGGTCGTTGTAGCCCATCAGGGCCCGACGCCCGTTCTTTGGTCCCAGAAACCTGTTCACCAGCATCGTCCAGCCCAGGGAGAAATGGAACTCAATGTCCTCCTGGAAGTCGGCGCAGAGCTTGTCGCAGTTCAGGTCGTAGCTGAGCGCGAAGCACTGCCGGGGAATCAGCGCGTCGATCTGGCCCCGCAAGGGCACCGGGAGAAGGGGCTTGAGCCCGTCTGCCCACACGGGAAA